CATATTACATTTATGGATGACTCTACTTTGATTGCTTCATATAAACAAGGAATTGAAGATCGCCTTTCAATAACTGCAGAATTTTACACATTAAATAATACTCAAGCAAATTCAGCAAAATATATCCTTCTTTCTTCTGAACAATTTTCTCAAAATATTGTATTTGATCTATTACCATCTTCTTTAAATACGATTCATACCCTTACTTTAAAGGCGTTAGCCTTATCTACATCTTTTCGGTTTTTAGGTGTTTGGTTTAACCTTTCAGATTCTTCTCATTTCGTTAATAACCAAACTGTTTCCATGGTCAAAGACATGGCAGCTCTACTCAGTCCTAAAAAACTTTTAGCACAACATATAGCTTATCTTTATAACGTTGTCCTACTTCCGAGGCTAGAATTTCGCCTACAAACCACATTATTTGCAGAATCCACCATTAATCGCATGGTTTCTCCAATGCTTTCTCTTATTCGTCAGAAGGCTGGTTTGGCCTCAGTCACTCCTCTTTCCACACTCTTCACACTGTTGCCTTTCTCTATTCAACAAGCGTTTGGTCGATTTCTATCATCTCATGTGGCTTCATGGCAGAAAATTTTTTCTCACCCTTCATATAAGCTCTTTGCTAATTATATGATTACTTATCTCCAAGGTTTTTTGGACTGTGATGTCTGCCCTTCTACTATTGACCTGGAACCATGGTCCCACACCTTTTCTTTGCGAACACATTCTTTATTTAATTCTTTATTGTTCTCTTCTCGTTTAAATATCACGTGGTCTTTACTGTTCCGACCTCCGAGGAAAGATTTACGTCCGGCGATTCCACTCCGGTCTATTTTACCAAAAGATTTATTTACTTCCATGAAAAATGTTCGGAAAAATTTCTGCACTCATTTTCTTGCTCAATTGATTACACCGTGTGGCTCTCGACTTCTCTCATGGAAAGATTTACGCTTTCTTAAACGAGTATCGAACAAAGGATCTGTGCCTGCTTGGTTTAATTATTTGTTCAATCTTATTGTTATTCCTAATTCACCTTCTTTTTTTATTTTACAACAATTTAGAATTCCTAGTTCTCATACCGTAGCTTCTATTTCTTTTATAGATATTAGTCGAAATTATTGGTTTAACCCTCAATGGGCTATTTCTTTTAATCGCAATACTAACTCTTTCCTCGTTGGCCGTGTGATTACTACCTATCCTGCTCCACGTAATGAAGCTCTTATTTCACATTGGATTGCGTCATCGGTTGATGATTTACTTTCTGAATTTACTGCATGCCAAGGTTGTGCCTCTGCTATTCCGCGATCCTCTACCTCTAAGACTTTGATTAAACGATGTCCCTCTGAAGGATGTTTCTCTTATGTTCTGTTATTAAGTTTGATCCGTTATCCTACGAAACCTCGTACTTATATACATGCGGATACTCGTTCGGTTTCACTTTCTGCCTCGCTAGGCTATGCCAAATCTCTTTTACTATTTCATCTTTTTGCTCCGGTTCGCTTACCTCCTACGAATGAACTAGTGCTTAGGATTTCTGATATCCAACTTCCTTCTTCGGTGTTTACCCTTTATATTGATGGTTCCTTTCTTTCTCCTCCTAGTCATCCGGCATCCTCGATGGCTTATGCATGGACTGCTATAGATCCTGATGGATTTATTTTGGAATCCCATTATAATATCATCTCTTCCATTTTTCCTTCTGCTTTACGTTCAGAAGTTTTTGCTTTGTTGCACGGATTGGACTCCCTTCCTCGGAATTCAAAGATTACTGTCGCCACTGATTGTGCTCAATTACTTTCTTTATGGTCTTTATATGTGGATGCTCCTTTTATTTTCAGAATGCTTAAAGAATTCAACCACCTTTTGTGGTCCTCCATACGCACTATTATGTTGCAAAAGAATCTGGATGTTACCTTGATCAAGGTTCCTGCTCATGCTGACGACCCTTTGAATAATCATGTAGATGCATTAGCCAAAGCCGCTCATACTGACTCACATCTTTCTCCTTGTCCACCATCGGAATTGATGGCTCCTTGCATTTTACAATATAATTCCTTACCTGTGGATATGAATATCCGGAAATTTATTAGAGATATTTTTGACGCCAAAAGTCTTTTAACTCTTGCTGTATTACCAAGATTTAATTCCTATTCTTCAATTTCTGATATTGATTGGGCTTGCACCAAATTTTGTCTCAATAACAATAAGCATTTTATCTCTCATCGGAATGGCCGTTCCGAGTTTTGTGGTTTCCGTATTAAGCTACTTTTAGATATGCTTCCAACGCTTACAACTCTTCAGAGACAAAAGCCTCATCTTTATAATCCTAGTTGGCTTTGTCCTCAATGTAACTCCTTTCCTGAGACTTTAGACCACTTGTGGACTTGTCCTTATATTTTACCGGAATTTAGCCCTTTACAAACTTTTAAAACGTTACTATTGGCTCTTCGGACTACTTATCTTGATCATTTCCTTTCCGCGTCATCTTTAATGCCTTTACCGGACTCTTTTGCTGCTGAATTTATGGCTCTTAATTGTTGGGATTGTGACCCTCCTTCAATTTCCTGCCTGCGACTCACAAGAGGACTTATACCGATATCTTTGACAGAATTTCTTGGAGTTTATTTTTCTTCACCTACCATATGGTCTATCTTAGATACACCTTTGCACGACTTTCATTTTGACCTTTATGTTCAAATCTGGTTGTGCCGATCCATTTTCTTTCATCACTGGGAATTAGCTCAAGGCATTACAAAAAAAATGAAATCGTCAGCTCTTGGGCCTTCTTCTATTCTTCGACCTTCCTCTAACATTCCTCTTGACTCTTCGACACCTTCCTTGGCGACAGCTTCCTTGGATTCCTGGGTTTCTTGGGTTTCCTCTACTATAATCCGTGGGGGATCTTGGATTTCGCATTTGGATTTTTGGCACCGCTTAACAGTTCAGCCTCTACTTAAGACTTCTTTTTGGTAACGGATTGGATCTTAGGACATGCTGGATAGTTGACTCACACTGGCCTTCGGGTAAAGATGGGGTATGCGTTTCTGTAATAGTTTAGTTTTTCTTTACTTAATTTTATTTTGTTTAGATTTCTTTACTTGTATGAATCGTGAAGCTAGTTCTTTTTATTTTTTATGTTTATTTTCTATATTTGATATTAGTAATATTGTTCGATCTGTTTATTGTACTTTTCGTTTAAATTTAATAATAAAAGATAAAGTCATAAGACTGTTTGCTCATAATCACCAAATATAAGCCTGAGTATGGTGAGGTCGCAGGTTCGATTCCCATGACCACGGAAATAAAAAGAATTTTACTGCGGACGCTACAACCAATAGCGTGAAGGTACAGGGATTAGTGTAGTTGGACTGCATCATGGTGAATTAGTGTGTACGGT